GAGAGAACGTAAGCATGTCAAAAAGTTTATTTTTCAGCCTTCAACGATGACTTGAAATAAAGAAAAATTGAAAGTGAAAGGATAGAGCAACTAGTGTTCTCAATCATATTTATAGTAATGTTTGGATTTGAAATAAAATAAATGTCAGTAGTTTTGAGAATTTCAAACGAGTTTCTCTTTCAAATATTTGTACATCTTAACAAATTCGTAATTCAAAAATTTTTTGAAACTATTTACTTCAAAATTAGAAAAACTTCTGATGATACTCTTTTATAAAAATCTTTATTCAAATATATGTATAAGATAATACTCGTGAAGATATTACGAAATATTCCACATAGATAGTTTTATCTTGACAAGTTCAAATTCGAACATGACTGATCAACAACAAAAAAATAACGAGACTACCGATCAAATTTTTCATGTAAGATTTATATAATTTCAGTTTTCTCGTAAGATTTCAATGATCATTTAGGGAGTACCATTGAATGATATTCCTAATCTTTTTCAAGCAGCTCCCACTCTAAAAGATATGCAAGATATTAATGATGTTGGTCACACATTTATGATCAAAGTATAATATGAAATACACATTCACCGAATACATCGTAATAAAATTTTCTTCGTTTAAATAGCCATTCAAATATGATCCATCGAATCCTAATCTCGAACCAGAACCAGCTCATGGAATGGGAAATTATTTTGATATATGGAATGATGATCATGTTCATTTGCCATGTTCGCCATTTAATGTAATGGTGGGTTTAAACTAAAACTATCTGTTAATGCATATCGAATTTTTATTCGTAGAACGATGGAACACAAAAATGGCCGATTATTCAACAGAAATTGACACAACTCAAACAAAAGTGTGATGAGAAAACAGCCACCGTCAACGACATTAACGTAATATACTGTGGCTTTTGCTTTCATTTAGATATAAAATATTCATTTTTTAGATAGCAATAGAAGAGAGCAACGGAACTGGTTTTGAAATAGGCTGTCTAGAACATTTACTTAAGGGTGTGGGTGGGTGGGTGTAGGTGTGGGTGTGGGTGTGGGTGGGTGTGGGTGGGTGTGGGTGTGGGGTGGGTGTGGACGTGGGTGTGAGGTGGGAAAAGTGACACTTCGTCTCACCTATTCATTATGAACTCCGGTTGAAGTAGTCCGTTACGATCTTCGGACTTAAGAAAAAAGACAGGGTGTTCGGAATGACAAAAGTCAATGAAATATGAGGAAAAACTATGATACTCGTAACGACATGTGATCCGAAGATCGTAACGAGCTCTGACAACTGTTTCTTAGTGGGTGAATAGCGAAAATTTGACTGGAGATCGAAATGAAACAGTCCGGAAGTTCGTAATGACAAATGCATGAGGGTCGTGATGAAAATTACAAGATGTTCGGAAGGAAAATGATAGGATGTTCGTAACTATATTTAAGTTTACTCAACTTTGAGAGAATATGAAGGGACACACTTGTCTTACAGTTTAAGATGGTGCAATAAAGATATCTTGATAAATGCAAACAGTCAAGATTGCTCGTCTTTTTACTATTTTAATTCCAATTAAAGAAAAAAAGCAGAACAAATATTTTATTTTACTTTTAAATCTAATTCATAGTAAATATAGAGCATAATATCATAAGAAAAAACATGAAACGTATAGAGCAAAATTTTCAGTAGTTATTTTTTGATACGTTTATTTCTTACACCACAATTTGTACCTTTAACTGGTTTAACATCAATTGGCGTAGTAGGACTGAAAATTGAAAAGAAAAATACAATACACATTAGTACTCTCTTTATTCAACACAAAAGCAAAATACTTACATGTAAAACAGATGTACCATCATTATTCTCTTCATTTTCTGATGAATATCTACGTTTTTTTAGCACTAACTGTTTGTTCCTTCTTCGACTTTGTAACAGTAATAATAGGTCGAGATGATGTGTACCACTATTATGAATAGATTAAAAGAAGAAAGGTAGAAACAACTATAGTTACTAAAGTCTAGAAAGCAATGATACAGAAAGAAAACTATCTATCTCTATATATATAAGTATAGTTGTACTAAGTAAATAAACCCTGTTCTTCTCTATAAAAACAAAAGAAAAATCTTTATATCCGTTACGATCTTCGAACAATTATTTTTACGAATTCCTTGTCAATGTCATTCCAATCTTCCGGTTCCGAACATCCGACCTTATTCATTACGATCTCCGGACCTGCATCAGATATATCAAGAAATATTCTGTTCTGAACATCCGGTCAAACCATTCCAATTTCCCTGCTTTTCTATTACGATCTTCTGTCCACGAATGTTTACGAACTCCGGTCAAAGAAAAGTTCATTTCCGAACATCCGGACGCATGTCCGGAGTTCGTAATGAGGTGAGACGAAACGTCCTTCACCCTGTGAGGTGTGGGTGTGTGGTGTGGGTGTGGGTGGGTGTGGGTGTGGGTGTGGGTGGTGTGGTGTGTGGGTGTGGGTGGGTGGTGGGGGGGGGGGGGGGGGGGGGGCGAGGGTGTTCTCTTCAAGGGAAACCACTACACCCACACCCACCCTCACCCATACCCACACCCACACCCACCCACCCTCACCCACACCCACACCCACCCACCCTCACCCACACCCACCCACCCTCACCCACACCCACAGCCACACCCTCCTTTTTCTACCTTCCCTTTCTTGCATCTTCTCTTCGAAGAATCAGTTACAAGCCTTAAGATGTATGAAAAGCAAAACCCTAAAATATTGCTTCGATGACAGGTTTTAAAAACATGGGTCTACGTAACTGCGAATATTCAGTGGGGAAGCGCTTTTGCTCACCTAACACACCTTTTATTTCAGCGTCGCGACTTGCCGGCGCGAAGCGCCCCCC